CACAAATCCGTTCACACGCACACACACACAAGTACCTGTGCAGTTGTGGCTCTAGTTGAATAACCACATTGTGTCATCTGAACATGCACACACACAAACTCAGAGGTGTCGAACTTCACGGTGTCGTCAGAGAGACTAGTCAACTATTAAGACTGAAATAGCATCAGTCGGGCACATAGCAACCACACACACTAAACATTAAACAGCTAGTTGTGTGTCAGTATAATGACTCCTCTATATAATGAGCCGCCTCCATATAATAGTAAACAGGAAGTAGACGCTGTTCTGTACTATGCTTGAGTGATGGTAATACTGTGAAATATTAATATATATTCCGTGGTATTGGATTGGTATTGCTGTGGTTTTTACATAGTGTAATTTGATGCTTAGTAATGTTTAACAATTTGTCATTCACAAAGTCTTTTATGCTCACCAAGACAGCATTTGTTTTATGAAAACTACAGTAAAAATTGTAAAAAAAAAAAAAATTGAAACAATTTGACTATTTAAAATAGCTGTGATCCATTTGAATATATTTTAAAATGTCATTTATTCCTGTGATGTGCAGCTGAATTTTCAGCATAATTACGCCAGTCTTCAGTGTCACATGATCCTTCACAAATCATTCTGATACTATCACTGTACCATGGTACTTCCACAGTATATTTAAAGTATTTACTTGGTGTTATTTTTTATGATTCAATAATACTGTTATTTTAATATATACCTTGATGCAGTTTGATTACTGTATTCACATACAATGCTACTTAAATGGCACTGTAAGCTCTTCAAAGCATATAATGGTATTACTATGGTAACATATCTAAACAAGCATGTTTGTAAGGGTTGTAATGATGGCTCTGCCTACTCTAGTCATCAACTTAGTCTGGGTTGGTGCGTAATTAACTATCCTGCTAAATTACGGCCTACTCACCCAATCTGAGATTAAAGAGAGACTGTTCTTACTGTGGACAAACAAAGAGTCCAGATGACTAAAGAACTACTTAGCTTTAACATTGTATACTAACCGGACGTCAGATACATTTTTGTTTTCACTGAAAGCAAAAACATTGCGCAAAGCATGAAAGCATGGTGTTTAATATACAGAGCAAGATGTGGACCAATGAGATTTCCTGTAGGTGGAGCTAAGTTGCATGATTATTATATATTTGGTGTCTTCTATATTGTTACATCACAAAACTCTGAATGGGCGTTGACAGCGGATTTCTCTCCTATCGCTATCAAAACTGCCGTTAGTTGGCGAGGGTGAGCACAATTGCAGATTTATTGTAGCGCTGACGTCAGAACATTGTTCGGGTTGGCGTACGGAACAGAGGCGGCCCAGACGAATGATAAGCAGTCCTGCTAATGTAAACAAGTGCTGGAGGCCAGTGGCGCTGCTCTGTGCGGGGTGGCAGATTCCTCACATTCCGTCACTGCCTCTCGTGAATGCTGAAATTAAGGATGCAAGATATGTTTGGCAGAGCTCAGGACGGTTTTCCTGGACAGAAGGCATGCGCTGGTGTGAAAGTGTGTGTGTGTGTTTACCTTTTTGTGCTAGTGTTTCCATCTAATCTAGTCAATTTATCTCCTCGGCTCTCTCCTTCCTTCCTTGACAACACTTTGTTCACTTTTGGAAACTCTAGTAAAGCCAGTTTCTGATGCGTCTTACTGGTCCAAGTTGGTCACAAATTATTGGTGGTTTTGGTTTTAGCCCAGTAGACCATCTTGGTCAGGCTGGAAGAGCTTGTAGACCACCTTGGACCAGCAAGTACCAATTTGACCACCTTGATCTAGTTTTTCTGTTTTTTCCAGCAGGGATTCAGTGAAGTTCACTTGATGAAGTTGAATTGGCATAAATCATATTTGGTTCTTGTTGGAAAGTCTAGTTAAGCCAATATCTTATGGTTCTTACTGGTCCAAGTTGGTCATAATCTATTCTAGATGGTTAATCAATTGGTCTACCCATTGGTGGTTTTGGGTTCAGCCTGGTAGACCATCTTGGTCAGGCTCGAAGAGCTTGTAGACCACCTTGGACCAGCAAGTACCAATTTGATCACCTTGGTCTTAAGCAGGGATTCAGTGAAGTTCACTTGATGACATTAAATTGGCATAAATAATAAATGGTTCTTGTTGGAAAGTCTAGTAAAGCCAATTGCTGATGGTTCTTACTGATCCAAGTTGGTTATAATCTAGTCTAGATGGCCCTACCCATTGGTGGTCTTTGTTTCAGCCTGCCAGTCCATCTGGATCAGGCTGGAAGAGCTTGTAAACCATCTTGGATCAGCAAGTACCAGTTTAACCACCTTGATCTGGTATCTTCTAGTTTTTCCAGCAGGGATTCATTGAAGTTCACTTGATGATATAATTAATAATTGGCTCTTTCTCTTTACTTCCTCAATCAACTGTCCATCTGGATCAGGCTGGAAGAGCTTGTAAACCATCTTGGATCAGCAAGTACCAGTTTAACCACCTTGATCTGGTATCTTCTAGTTTTGCCAGCAGGGATTCATTGAAGTTCACTTGATGATATAATTAATAATTGGCTCTTTCTCTTTACTTCCTCAATCAACACTTTGTTCACTTTTACTCTGTTGGAAACTCTAGTAAAGCCAATTTCTGATGGTTCTTACTGGTCCAAGTTGGTCATAACCTAGGTTAGATGGCCTACCCATTGGTGGGCTTGGTAGAACAGCAAGTACCAGTTTGACCATGGTAATCTGGGATTTCCTTGCTTTTCCAGCAGGGATTCAATGAAGTTCACTTGTAGTTAAACTGGCATAATGAATAACCACGTCTTTCTTGTCTCTCTGTAGATTCCCTGGCTCTTCAGGAGCGTGGAGAACAGCCTCACTGGTGTGTGGTGGCCTATTGGGAGGAAAAGACCCGCGTTGGGCGCCTCTACTCCGTCCAGGAGCCATCTCTGGACATCTTTTATGACCTACCTCAGGGCACGGGCTTTTGCTTGGGCCAGCTCGCCTCCGACAACAAGAGTCAACTGGTGCAAATGGTTCGGGTCAAGATCGGCTACGGCATCCAACTGAGCCGCGAACCCGACGGCGTGTGGGTGTATAACCGGAGTTGCTACCCCATATTCATCAAGTCAGCCACACTGGACAACCCCGACTCGCGTACGCTGCTGGTGCATAAAGTATTCCCCGGCTTTTCCATCAAGGCCTTCGACTTTGAGAAGGCGGGAAGCCTACAGCGGCCCAACGACCACGAGTTCAGCCAGCAGCCGCGGACGGGCTTCACCGTGCAGATCAGTTTCGTGAAGGGCTGGGGGCAGTGCTACACCAGACAGTTCATCAGCAGCTGCCCCTGCTGGCTGGAGGTCATATTCAATAACCGATAACAGTGAGCCCCACCCCCTCACCACGCCCCCCATTCCTTCATGGAGATGGACTAGCCCTTACCTTTTATGGACTGTGTTGTCTTTCTGTTTTTCACAAGAAGTTCTCCGAAGGATGTTTTGCGAGAGAAATGGAAAACGGAACCTCACTTGGACTTGTTTAACAAATGACTAAGATTTAATTAAGTGAAATAAAAGCTAAAATGTATTTTATGTTAAATATAAATATATTATTACCTGTAAATACGAAGTTTTATATGCATTGTTATTTATGTATTGTGCAATGTGTTGATGAGAAAAAGAGATGCACTTTGCTTAATATAAATGCAAACAAAGAAATGCCAAAATAAAACAAAAAATACTGAATACATCTCTGAATTTGTGTTTGTTTTGCTAATCCACTGGTTATTGCGTCTAACTGTTCAGCAGTTTTATTTATTCATTTTCTTGGTTTTTTTCCAGTCTTTTTTCACCCACAAATTTTAGCAGACATTTTAGTTATGACTTTGAAGATGGAAATCTTCTAGAACTTTTTTATATATATATATATATATATATATATACAATATATATATATATTACACCTTAAAGAGACAAAACGATGAACTAAACTATTACAATGATTTAAAACAAAATATTTTTCTTATGCTCCGCTCTAAAATATTTGTTAAATAATATTTAGTGTTTATTTTTTATTTAAAAATATATAAACATACTTTATATGTGCATAGTGTGTCTTTTTTTCTTATGCTAAATTATTAAAAAACGTTTAATATATGTAAGCGTACATATATTAGATATTTATATATATATAATTTATTACATAATACATAAACTATCAAATATATATAACAAACTCAGTCTAGTAATCATGATCAACTGTAAAAGTCATGGAAATTCATTGGTCAAAAGCGGTTCATGCAGATAGAAAATCTCACAACTAATGACCCACATTGCTCTTTATTTTCAGAATTGCATTTTATTTCTATCTGTGTCATGTTTTAATATTGAATGGCTTCATGGACAATGTGAATGAGCTTTTGTGAGAGAAAATTCCCTCAGTCTAACTCGAATGCCCCATGGGCCGGTTATGTGCCAGGAACAGCAGGTCTCTGGGGGAGGGGGAGCGTCTGCGGGCCGTCTAGACGAACGCCACCCCTCCTCCTGCCGCTCCTGATATGGACGTCTGCTGGGGGGATTACAGCATAAGACTGCTCTGACCCGACCGGCCGGCCCTGAGAGACCTACATTCACCAGCCCAGACTCCCACACAGACCTGAGAGCCACAGCTTGTAAACCATCTTGGATCAGCAAGTACCAGTTTAACCACCTTGATCTGGTATCTTCTAGTTTTTCCAGCAGGGATTCATTGAAGTTCACTTGATGATATAATTAATAATTGGCTCTTTCTCTTTACTTCCTCAATCAACACTTTGTTCACTTTTACTCTGTTGGAAACTCTAGTAAAGCCAATTTCTGATGGTTCTTACTGGTCCAAGTTGGTCATAACCTAGGTTAGATGGCCTACCCATTGGTGGGCTTGGTAGAACAGCAAGTACCAGTTTGACCATGGTAATCTGGGATTTCCTTGCTTTTCCAGCAGGGATTCAATGAAGTTCACTTGTAGTTAAACTGGCATAATGAATAACCACGTCTTTCTTGTCTCTCTGTAGATTCCCTGGCTCTTCAGGAGCGTGGAGAACAGCCTCACTGGTGTGTGGTGGCCTATTGGGAGGAAAAGACCCGCGTTGGGCGCCTCTACTCCGTCCAGGAGCCATCTCTGGACATCTTTTATGACCTACCTCAGGGCACGGGCTTTTGCTTGGGCCAGCTCGCCTCCGACAACAAGAGTCAACTGGTGCAAATGGTTCGGGTCAAGATCGGCTACGGCATCCAACTGAGCCGCGAACCCGACGGCGTGTGGGTGTATAACCGGAGTTGCTACCCCATATTCATCAAGTCAGCCACACTGGACAACCCCGACTCGCGTACGCTGCTGGTGCATAAAGTATTCCCCGGCTTTTCCATCAAGGCCTTCGACTTTGAGAAGGCGGGAAGCCTACAGCGGCCCAACGACCACGAGTTCAGCCAGCAGCCGCGGACGGGCTTCACCGTGCAGATCAGTTTCGTGAAGGGCTGGGGGCAGTGCTACACCAGACAGTTCATCAGCAGCTGCCCCTGCTGGCTTGAGGTCATATTCAATAACCGATAACAGTGAGCCCCACCCCCTCACCACGCCCCCCATTCCTTCATGGAGATGGACTAGCCCTTACCTTTTATGGACTGTGTTGTCTTTCTGTTTTGTTTTTCACAAGAAGTTCTCCGAAGGATGTTTTGCGAGAGAAATGGAAAACGGAACCTCACTTGGACTTGTTTAACAAATGACTAAGATTTAATTAAGTGAAATAAAAGCTAAAATGTATTTTATGTTAAATATAAATATATTATTACCTGTAAATACGAAGTTTTATATGCATTGTTATTTATGTATTGTGCAATGTGTTGATGAGAAAAAGAGATGCACTTTGCTTAATATAAATGCAAACAAAGAAATGCCAAAATAAAACAAAAAATACTGAATACATCTCTGAATTTGTGTTTGTTTTGCTAATCCACTGGTTATTGCGTCTAACTGTTCAGCAGTTTTATTTATTCATTTTCTTGGTTTTTTTCCAGTCTTTTTTCACCCACAAATTTTAGCAGACATTTTAGTTATGACTTTGAAGATGGAAATCTTCTAGAACTTTTTTATATATATATATATATATATATATATACAATATATATATATATTACACCTTAAAGAGACAAAACGATGAACTAAACTATTACAATGATTTAAAACAAAATATTTTTCTTATGCTCCGCTCTAAAATATTTGTTAAATAATATTTAGTGTTTATTTTTTATTTAAAAATATATAAACATACTTTATATGTGCATAGTGTGTCTTTTTTTCTTATGCTAAATTATTAAAAAACGTTTAATATATGTAAGCGTACATATATTAGATATTTATATATATATAATTTATTACATAATACATAAACTATCAAATATATATAACAAACTCAGTCTAGTAATCATGATCAACTGTAAAAGTCATGGAAATTCATTGGTCAAAAGCGGTTCATGCAGATAGAAAATCTCACAACTAATGACCCACATTGCTCTTTATTTTCAGAATTGCATTTTATTTCTATCTGTGTCATGTTTTAATATTGAATGGCTTCATGGACAATGTGAATGAGCTTTTGTGAGAGAAAATTCCCTCAGTCTAACTCGAATGCCCCATGGGCCGGTTATGTGCCAGGAACAGCAGGTCTCTGGGGGAGGGGGAGCGTCTGCGGGCCGTCTAGACGAACGCCACCCCTCCTCCTGCCGCTCCTGATATGGACGTCTGCTGGGGGGATTACAGCATAAGACTGCTCTGACCCGACCGGCCGGCCCTGAGAGACCTACATTCACCAGCCCAGACTCCCACACAGACCTGAGAGCCACAGAGACAAACAGCCATTATTTCATGATGAAAACTTAACAGTTAAAATGTAGTTTTGGTTCTCAGTCCGCGTGTCGGTTCGGAGCGTGTTGGTGACTAAAGGGTATTCCTGGGTATTAGTGTCATGGTGGTGTCCTGGTCTCTGTAATCCAAACTCTCCTAATGCATCTAAAGCTTGCGCTCTAGAACTTTTTTATATATATATATATATATATATATATACAATATATATATATATTACACCTTAAAGAGACAAAACGATGAACTAAACTATTACAATGATTTAAAACAAAATATTTTTCTTATGCTCCGCTCTAAAATATTTGTTAAATAATATTTAGTGTTTATTTTTTATTTAAAAATATATAAACATACTTTATATGTGCATAGTGTGTCTTTTTTTCTTATGCTAAATTATTAAAAAACGTTTAATATATGTAAGCGTACATATATTAGATATTTATATATATATAATTTATTACATAATACATAAACTATCAAATATATATAACAAACTCAGTCTAGTAATCATGATCAACTGTAAAAGTCATGGAAATTCATTGGTCAAAAGCGGTTCATGCAGATAGAAAATCTCACAACTAATGACCCACATTGCTCTTTATTTTCAGAATTGCATTTTATTTCTATCTGTGTCATGTTTTAATATTGAATGGCTTCATGGACAATGTGAATGAGCTTTTGTGAGAGAAAATTCCCTCAGTCTAACTCGAATGCCCCATGGGCCGGTTATGTGCCAGGAACAGCAGGTCTCTGGGGGAGGGGGAGCGTCTGCGGGCCGTCTAGACGAACGCCACACCTCCTCCTGCCGCTCCTGATATGGACGTCTGCTGGGGGGATTACAGCATAAGCCTGCTCTGACCCGACCGGCCGGCCCTGAGAGACCTACATTCACCAGCCCAGACTCCCACACAGACCTGAGAGCCACAGAGACAAACAGCCATTATTTCATGATGAAAACTTAACAGTTAAAATGTAGTTTTGGTTCTCAGTCCGCGTGTCGGTTCGGAGCGTGTTGGTGACTAAAGGGTATTCCTGGGTATTAGTGTCATGGTGGTGTCCTGGTCTCTGTAATCCAAACTCTCCTAATGCATCTAAAGCTTGCGCTGGCCAGGAAACCCGGACAGATGCTTCGACCCGACACCAATACCAAGAGCTTATTTATTCCCCTTCTGAGAAACAACGCCACAAAGATACTGAACCATGAACACCAGCTAATTACACCATGAACAAAGACGAAATTATGAATAACTCAACTATTACAATTAATGCATTAAATCACTAAATATTTTTGCTTATGCTCAGCCCTAAAATATTTGGATTTTTTATTTTATTTTAAATATTTATTTTATCATTTAAATAAATATATATATAATGTGTATAGTGTCTATTTTTTTCTTATCCATACATATATTAAACATTTATATATAATACAATTGTACAATATAATTTATTATTACTCACAATTAGTAATTGTGAGTACAAGTTTTATGAAATATTTTAAACTTGTCCAGTTATTATGATCAACAGTTTTTTTTATTCACTTACAAATCAATTTTTTTTTTAATTTCTGTTTTTTTTTTTTTTTTTTTTTAAATTTCTAAAAAAATTAAAAATTTAATCCAAGAACAATAAAAGAAAATTTTTTTTTAATTTTTGTTTTTTTTTTTTTTTTTTTTTAAATTTCTAAAAATACTACAAGTATAATCCAAGTACAATAAAAGTATTACAAATTTTACAATTTTGAAGATCTTCAGGCCTGGCCAGTCATATGCAAACTCAGGCTTACAGACTTTAAAATATATTAAAATACAATTTTCATTCATTCAGCTCTCAATGTATGTGTGTGTATATATATATATATATACACTGTATATACATATATATACATATGATATAGGTTAGGTTATCCTATTAGAATGATTTCTGAAGGATCATGTGACACTTTATACTGGAGTAATGGCTGATGGAAAGAGTGTGTATGAAGCCTCAGGACGGCTCGTCCACAAACACAAAGGAGAAGCTCTCGGCTCCTGCCCTGAGGGACGGCCGCTTGCCCCGGGACAGCAGTCATCATTTTAGAGTCAGTTTTGTTTGTTTATTTAAAGTTATTGAGCAGTTAGCTTACTTTATCATCACATCAATGTGCACATATGTAGTTGTACTGAATTTAATTTAAAAATACTTTTTTTTAATTACAAACAAAAAGATGTCTGGACAGGGATCATGAGATTAGGGAAGGGTGATGTGGGAATATGAACTTAAAAAAATGTCTCAATTAATTTAAAAATAGGAATCATAAACCTTGCAAAATATATCTTTATGCAAAATATTTTCTATTTATATTTGTAGAATAAAACTAAAACAATATACAAGATAAACAGGTTAAAAGACAATGTCCATTATGAATAATAAAAACTTTTACGCAGTATACGTATCATAATATGAATTTATGTAATATATGTTTAGTAGTCAGCATACAGACATTTTGAGTTAATTTTATGAAAATATGAATTGTTCAGATCATATTTGACCCCAAAATAAACTAAAATAATTAAAGTACACTGTACATTGAAATAATTGCAAAATTCAAAATACAGGTAAAACACCTGTGTAAAAAAATACTGAAATTCCTTCAAATGAATTCCATCAAAATTCCTTCAATCAATGCCTGTTTTTAGAACTTTTTTCATGTAAAATTTTTTGTTTGATGTTAAATAAGCACATTCATTTAACTACTGTTAAACGACAAATAATAATATATTACTTAAAATCTTTTTAGTAGTACATTTCAAAGTACAAATTAAATGTAAAATTGAATTTAGTTTTCTTTATTACAAACAAAAATTGTTCTTAAAATAGGAATTGTTATTGTCTTTATATTTTGAACATAGATGGACGTGTGTAAGTGCATGAGGGGTCACATGTAAGTCACCAAACAAGCCTAAACCTGCTTCACTTCACCACACTACACCACAAAGTCACTTTATCTGATTTCATTTTCTTTTGCTCTTTCTCATCAATCAGATAATGCCGTTGCCCTCATATGCTGAGTGTTTTCGGTTTGCTCTTCACACGCTACGAGCCGCCGGCTGAAAACTGCTACTGACTCAGACACGGAGCCGAAGCGTCTGTGCATCAGTCAGCCACCACCACCCTCCTCCTCCTCCTCCTCC